GGTGCCACCCCTCACGCAGATCCGCGGGGTCAGGGTCCAAAAACACATGGGATTTGCCACATTTCTGAAATTCGGTGCCACCCCTCACGCAGATCCGCGGGGTCAGGGTCCAAAAACACGGGATTTGCCACATTTCTGAAATTCGGTGCCACCCTCACGCAGTATCCGCGGGGTCAAAAAACACATGGGATTTGCCACATTTCTGAAATTCGGTGCCACCCCTCACGCACATCCGCGGGGTCAGGGTCCCAAAACACAGGGGATTTGCCACATGTTTGAAATTCTGTGCCACCCCTCACGCAGATCCGCTGGGCCAGGGTCCAAAAACACATGGGATTTGCCACATGTCTGAAATTCGGTGCCACCCCTCACGCAGATCCGCGTGGTCAGGGTCCAAAAACACAAGGGATTTGCTACATTTCTGAAATTCGATGCCACCCCTCACGCAGATCCGCTGGGCCAGGGTCCAAAAACACAAGGGATTTGCTACATTTCTGAAATTCGGTGCCACCCCTCACGCACATCCATCGCAAGGCGTGGTAACCCAAACTGCGAGTACTCCCTCGGCCCTTTAATCCCAAGGTGTGGTAACCAAGCTCGTAAACCATACACGTCTTACCAATCGCCCTGTGTGGTAACCCCTCTTGTGATCAGTTGGTTTTGCCGATTGCGAATCGGCCTCGCATGAAGTTCCGATACTGCTGCACGACAGCGCCAAAGCCTCATGACTTAGCTCTTCCATGGCCCATTCTCCGAGAGAGGGGGCCGGCGGCAGGGGGCGAAGCCCTTACGGATTGTGCGACCAGTGTTACATAGCATATTGAAAGCCGGGTGGGGAGGTCAGAGCGGAACGGCAACTCGTGTACACATGTGTACATAGAGAGAGAGAGAGAGAGAAAACAGGCGTCAGATATAATAAAGCGAAACTGGGTATTCAGTTTGAGAGAAAATAATTAGATACATACGCATGGAATGAGACAGACAAGTCTAGCAACATGCACATAAATATATAATCGTACAGAAAGAGAGAGAGAGAGAGAGAGAGAGAGAGAGGATAGCGCAGACACATATATAGAGAGAGTGTTTACATAGCTAAACGTACATAAAGGAGATCTGGAACAATGGAATGCAGAGCGAGGTCTGAGGGCATACCAATCAAACAGCCACCACATGTATATAGAGGATACCCACACCAGGAAATATTTGACCTGTCTATATATATAGAGAGAGAGAGAGGGAGAGAGCGAGAGACAGAGAGAGAGCGAGAGAGCGAGAGAAACAAATAGAGAGAAGGAGAAGGAGCGGACAGGCGTGGAGTACATGCGTAGGTTGCAGGAAGCCCACGGACGGGGATTCCTCTCTGACCCCCGCTTGTGGGCCTCTCTGGGGCTGTGCAGAACTTTTGTGGGCCATCTTGGAGGCCATCGGCCAACGGAGGGGGGGTCTGCGTTGGGGACCCTCCAGAGGCCGCATTGCTTCGAGCCCTCCTGGGCCTTTTGTTGGATGGAAGAGCTCAGGGCCCTCTTGGGCCTCTGCCCCTGCCCAAAAGGCGACGACGGCTGGGGCCAGCGAGGGTTCCCCCTTCACCCCTGTCACGAAACAAAGTAAAGTACACTTCGCGGCACAGTCTTGGGTCATGCCTGGGGGGCGCGGGCACTGTGCATTCTCTGGTGCTCACCAGGGGCGGCGGACGCGCCAGCACAGGGCCTGCAGTGCGCAGGGCCACCGCCCCTGTCAAGCAACCAGGCAAACTTCACGCAGTGGCAAAAGCAAGAGCCCAGCGCGGGTACCCCGCGATCCGATCGCATGGTTCTTGACAGGGACGACGGGGGTGCTGGCATACTGCCTGCTGGCTGCAGGCCCACCAGACATCACGACGGTCACTTCGCCGCGACTGTGCGCTGGCTTTCGCCGAGGACTGTGTGGGATCCAACATGTTTGTCGATGTGCGCGGCGCTGTGCGCGCCCCGAACGCGGTGCACCTGGCGCGGCTGCAGCACGCGGCACACCTGGCGCACGTGGAGCACGCAGCGCATCTGGCGCACCAGGCGTGCCTGGCAGGCTTGGGCCAAAGGGGCGCCTGGCGCGCCTGGCACGCGTGGCGCACCTCGCCCCAGCGCCGCGCACCCTGGGGCCTGCGTTGGCTCCAACGAGCTGTCCATCCAACGACGACCGCTGAATTTGTTAGGACTCGGGCACTACAGCTTGTGCATTGCGAGGGCGGGCGGTAGTGAGCCACACAAGCCGCGAAAGATCACGGCCAAAAAAGCTACTGACGACTTGTCGAACCGGAGCGATCTGCGCTATTTGTTAAGCTGGACCCCGTCTCTCTGCGACGCTTTTCGAGGAACTGGATCGATCTGTGAGGATCCCTAGGCTCGGAAGCGGGCAAAAGCGGCCGGCTCAAAATAACTGGCACGCCAGGACACGGAGAATCGCGATGCATCGGCGATGCATCGGCGACGTCGGCGACGCATCGGCGACGTATTGGCGACGTCGGCGTGGAGAACATCGGGCTCCACATCGTACATGTATCGGCGATGCGGAGCGATCCTACCACCCCATCGACTCGGACCCCGTCTTGGAGGCATATAACCTAAGAGTAATTGAGACGCCAGGACTCATCGGCTACACTCAAGAGCGACCCTGGGTAATAGTGACCTTTGGTGCGCGGCTATTTGGGGGCCGCGGGGGGCCAAACACAAGCACGCAAAACGCCACCGCCGCCTCGCGCTCGGCGCTCTGGGGGCCCCAGCGGTCGCGCACCAAAGGTCACTCTGGCCAAGGGTCACTCTTACGTGTAGTCGATCTCAGGGCAGCGGTAGGCGTCGCGGTGCCCTGGGTTGATGTCTCCCAGGGCCAGACTAGACGCCTCCTAGATGGGGCGCGAGTAGATGGGATCGGAGGATCGCGCCGATCGCGGATACATCGGCGATGCATCGGCGATGCACCAGCGGTGCATCGTCGACGTCGCGATGCATCGGCGACGTCGGCGTGGAGCAAATCGGCCTGCACATTGAGCTGCATCGGTGATGCATCGGCGATGCGGTGCGATCCTCCGACCCCATCTACTCGGACCCTATCTGGGAGGCCTAAAGGTATAGGAAAGCGCTGGAAGTGGATTGGGCTTCCGCCGGCCTCCTGACGAGGAGAGAAGAGGGAAAACCGTTCGACTCTTGAAATAGGGAGGCGGCTGAAGTAGGTTGGGATCTGAGAGTCCCAAAATATCTACTTTCAACGACCGGCGTGTACAGTAGGGGCTCGACCATAAGAAACCTTCTACAAGAACCCCCTCCCCGAGACCCCAGGACGCCCATTGATTATTGGTGCGGGAACGCCATGCTTTCCATAATCAAGATACCGAAACCCAAGAAACCCAGGGCACCCTGGAGGCGAGCAGGGTGTTTCTTGGCATGGGTCTCCACTGCAGGGGCAGGAGAGCCCAGAATCGAATCGAGAAGTCGGATCGGCGATCGAAGTGAATCGAATCGGCGGAAATCGGTAGCCCAGTCGGGAAAAGTCGAATCGGCGGAACTCGGCAGGCCCGTGTGCGTCCAGGGAGAAGTCGGAGCCCGACGATCGGAACCCGCAGCCGAAGCGCACCGCCATCGGAGGCCGTCGAGATCGAAGCGCCTCGCGCCGGAGGCGTCGGCACGAGTCCTGTAGTGAGGGACAACAGGTCGGGGGGGACTGGCATAAGGGGGGGGGGATGCATCGACCTGGAATCGGCGATACATCGCCGACAGATCGGCGATAGGCCTCCGATCGTGAATCCGCACCTTCCTGGACAGGCTGGGGCTATCGGGCCCCGGTCGGCGATCAGTGGGCGAGTGAGGGTCGGTGCATCCCCCCCTATGTGAAGGGGGCCTGGGACACACAAATAAATACACACACAAATAAAAGGATTCCCCATATTCTTCCATATTTCCGGGTTTCTGCCTTCCCCCCCCCCGCTTCCCATAGTTTCCCATATGTTCGGAGGCATCGTCGACTCCTTGTGTCTGTGTGTTTTTGTCCCTCCTGACTATGCCTACCCCTCCCCCCTACCCTTGCCCCTGATGTGGACAAGGCAGGGCTAGGATCGGGATAAATCGTCTCAGAGCGTTCCGGAGCGCTCTCAGAGCGTTCCGGAACGCTCCGGAGCGGCCGCGGCGCCCAATACATCCTCCAAACCCGCCGATTCTCAGAGATTTCGACTTATCCCGATCCGATTTTGTCCCGATCTTCGCGTCGTCTGGGTGGGGGCCGCGGCCCCCTGGGCTGCTGCCTCCCAGGGCCCGGGCTGCCCCTGGCCCTGGCGCCGCCGCCGTCTCCGCCGGCGGCTCCGCGGCCGCGGCCGCCCCCTCCCCGGGCGCCGCCGCCGCCGCGGCGGCCAGGGCCTCCGCGGGAGGGGCGGAGGGCGCGCTCGCGCGGGGGGCACCCCCGCGCGCACGGCCGGGACCCTCGCCAACAGGCGCTCTTCCTGTCTAGAGTTCAGTCGGGCCTGTCGCCCCTACAAGGGGGGATTTTGGGCGAAAGATAGAACATGCTCCAGAAATGCCCCCCCAATGGGCAAAAATATTAAAAAACCATCCCCAGACTATTTTTTTATTATTTTTGAATATTCCCCCCGTGGAGGGACAGGCCCGACTTAAATCTAGAGGCCTCTCCAGTGGGGCCCGAGCAGATCGAAGGCGACCCGTCTCCGAATTCGGAAGACTGGTGTCTGAGTTCAAGCACCCGTGTCTTTTTTGGGATTCAGAGACAAAGAGTTATGTGAATTCAAAAGCCAGCTTCTTCTTGAATTGAAAAGAAAATGTTTTGAATTCATAAACCAGCTTCTTGAATGCAAAAGCAATCCCCACATCCACCACATCATGTTTTACATGTTCAGAGCTTCTCTCTAAGAGTCGTGGGGTCGGGCCACATCTGAGATGGGGTCGGAAGATCGCGCCGCGTCGTCGATGCACCGGCGATGCATCGGCGATGCAGCGGCGACGTCGGCGGTGCATTGGTAACGTCGGCGTGAAGCAAATCGGCCTGCACATCGAGCTGCATCGGCGATGCATCAACGATGCGGTGCGATCCCCCGACCTCATCCACTGGGACCCCATCTGGGAGGCCTAGAACAGCCGAGGCCTTTAACAAAACAAACGCTCCTCGAAGAACAATGCAGCGGGTCCTGGCGTCTCGATTGTTTTGAGACGGGCGTTTTCGCCGTTTCGGGCCCTGGGACCCGATCCGGCTCGAAAAGTTTGGCAGAAACACGGGGTCCGGGGCTCCGGCCGTGATTTTTCAGTATGCTGTATGGCTGGGCCGTCTTGTGAAGGCACGGGGCCATTCGGCAAATACGGGTGATGGGGGTCAGGACCTGCTTCCGCCCTTGACCTCGGGAGAAGAGTCCACCCACGCCGATGGGCGGGTCTTGTCGACCCTGTATTTCCACCTCTGGTAGATGTAAATGAAGAATATTACGTCGTCGCGCAAGCAACTAAGCCGGTGCATCATCGGCATATCGATGAGAAACGCGGCGACGTCGTCGACGAAAGTGTTCATTGCCTTGTAGGTCAGCGCTCGCCATGGTAGGTGGTCAACTGACTGCAGCTTGTAGTTGATGTAGAGCTGCGGGGTCATCATGATGAAGCCGAAGGTGTACATGCCGCCGGCCGCCGACCTCACGAAGAAGGAGTACCAGCCACGATGCTTACCATAGACGGCTGACCAAATAACGTATCCTACGAAGACTGGAGTCAACACAGAAAACATGTAGTGAGTTGCTTCCTCGTCGTACTTGTTGGTGCCGGCGCTCTCATATCCAGCCTGGCTCCCCATTGAAATGAAAGGGAAGTTCGGCTTCAGCTCTAGATTCACCGCCTTGCGGAGTTTCCATGTGGCTAACGCCAGCTCCAAGACAATTTGGAAGAGGATTAGACGAGAAGCCTCTTGCGAGTCCAAGAGATAAAGACATTGGATCAACTGGCAAACGAAAGACACTATCATGCTCCGGGCCGACAGCCCTTCCATGGACTCGTTGTTTCTCCAAAACTGAACGTCGTTCTTGAACGCTAGCATCGAGAACAACATGTGAAGCGCGATGAAGCAACCACTGAAGGCGAGGAAATACGGATTGGTGTCCAAGATCAACCTCTTGAGCATGAAAGAGTCACTCTGCGGGTCTGACAATTGGAAATCCGAGGGTTTGCCCCACTGCTCCACCATCTGTGCCTGCATGCTCCACGCCATCATGCTGGCGACGGTGTACGACAGGCTGAGATTCAGGGTGGTATTATGCAGTGAACTGTTGAGCCGCACGTAGTCTTTCTCCAACAACCAGAAGTCGGAGGCATACAGGTATGGCTGATAGACCTCCAACTCCGGGAAGACGCGCAGGCGATTCAGCGGAGGAGTTTTGACGACCGCCGTGGAATGCACCGATTGCAGAAGAACAAGAAACACGCGCAAGCATAGCAACAACCTTCGTAGATCCGAGCAGAATCCATGGGCCCGCGTCGGGCCCTCCCTCCCTCCACCCTATCCCAAGCCAGCGGAGGCGCCGACAAGAATGTAAGGAGGGGGGTCCAACGCCGACCCCAGAAATCCGCCAAAACCTTCGAACATTGATGGTTATGCCGGTGTTTTGTTCTTCTAGATTGGTCGAACACGGGTCGCACCTCGACCTTCGTCTTGAAGTACGGCAATCTGACGGCAGACATGTTCAGAACGGGTCTCGGAGGATCGTCCTCCGCGGCGAGATAGCGGGAATCATGAACTGGTGGCTAGAGCAACCAGCAGCCCTCTTCCGTGCCACCCTCATCCCTCCTCTCTGCCTTGTCCTCCTCCCTCAATGTCCTCGTTCCTGCCCCCACTCCTCAAATCCCATTCGTTCCTCTCGGGCAGGGGGGGCGAATTCTGTCCTGGACGGAAATCGTGGGACCGGCAATGCCGTCAGGATCCATCGCAAAGATGGACCCCCTTGTCACAACCACGAGGGCACGTGGGAAAAGGTCATCAGCTCCAGCGCTGCGATCAGCTCGCGCGAGAAAGCGGCAGCGGGAACTGTCGCTTGCACATTGGCGCTGGCGAGCACTACCTCGACTACATCGCAGGGGTTGATGCGGAAAGGCAAGCGACGACAGCGCGCAACGGCTCGGCCAGAAAGGTGCCCGCAGTCGACGGCTCTCAACCTCACAGTGGGGATACAGTCGTGCGAGAACAATGGCAACGGCCGCGTGTCGTGCTGCCGCCAGGCGGGGCCTCGACAGAAGTGGCCATCAGCTACAGGGCTGCGGCCAACTCGTGCGAGGTGGGAGGCGGCCGCAGGGACAGTGGTGAACGTTTTTGATTCGTCGTTTCGACATTGGGCGGAACCTGGGGGGAAACTTCACCCTCTCGAAACAGGCGCCAACAAAACAGCCAAGATCTACTCCATGGGGGGGGGGAAGGAGGGTTATGGGGCCCGCCCCGATCGGCAAAACAGCGAATAACGAACTATCGCGCGGTTTCCCAAACAACTTTCGTGGGATGTTTCGCCCAGCTGCAACGCAAGTTCGACTCAGCGGTGAACCGTCGCTGCCACAGGGGGGTACGGATCATCGGGCCCAATACGGAGGTCGAGTCCGACAAGAAAACCGGCATTGGCACCACGTACTGTTGCCGCCGAGCGAGGCCTCGTGGAAGGAGGGCCAGCAGATACAGGGTTGCGATCAGCTCGTGCGAGAAAGCGGGGGGTGGCAGCAGGGACGTCGGCTCCCTATATAGCCTTCTTTGGATAATTTTCTCCCAGCATCACGCTGCTCATGCGAGAAGGCAGCGGCGGCAGACAGGGCGCACCATCGCTTGCCAGAGGGTGCGCGGCGTCGCGGGCCGCCAGCCGCAAGAGGAACGTGGAACATCGGCACCAACACCACGGACCACCAGCGGGAGGAGCCAGGGGTGTCCCCCCGGTGGTGTGGTCACCCCCCTCTCGCTCGAGGCATCCCCGACCCCGGAATCGGGGAGGCATCGTGGGCCTCCTCGCTGGAGGTGGGGCCCCTGGTGGTGGTGGTGTCATTTCTCCTTCCTCCGATGCCATGCAGCGCGGGGCTCGTCTTCATGCGAAAAAGCAGGCAACGGCAACATGCACGGTTGCTGCTAAATCGGTGCCTTGTGGGGCAAAACCACCAACCACAGCGCTACGGCCAGCCCGTGCGCGGAGGCGGGGAGTCAATGGCTTCCGAAGGGCGTCCTACGGGCGCAAACAACAACTACAACGTCACATGCGTAGCGATCGGTTTGTGCGGCCTGCGATAATTGCCTGGGCCAGCGCCCTCACTGCTCGACCGTGGCAGCAGGTCATATTGTCGCCCACGGGGGCTTGCAAGCCAGTCATCAGCTACAGCGCTGTGGTCAGCTCGCGCCACGACAATCAGGGCGCATGCGTGCACATCAAGCCTACGATCCAATGCAGCTGTGGGCGGCCCGCATGTGTCGGAAGGCGGTTGCCCCGCTTATCAATTACAGCGTCGGGGTTGCGAGTGTGATAGGGCTGGTGTAGACCAGGCAATTTTGCATCGCGGCGCAGCGGTGGCGTTCCGCTCGCGCGTCGAGCAAAACGTTACAGCGAGCTGCACAATGTCCCACATGCGAGAGGGGCGGCCGCGAGATTAGGAAAAGAAAGGGAGGGCACTCTCACGCGGCGGGGCCGCGGGATGCGCGCGGGGCGGCCAGGCTGCAGGGCAACCCCTGGCAACGGCGCGGGGCGGCGTCGCGGGCGCACCCATGGCCCAAAGGTTGGGCAAGCAGCCGCAGTGCGAGCGAGGCCCAGCAAGCGGGGGGGAGGCAGCGGGCGGTGGGCGGACCAGGGCGCCTGGGAGGGGCGGAACCTACCTGCAGAGCCCTGGGGACGCTGGGCAGTGGCCACGCCCAGGGCGGGGCCCTGAGCGCCGACGCGCAGCGGCGACCGGCTGGGGGCAAGGCGGGCGCAGCACTGAGGAGGGGCGACGCCGGCGCGGGGGAAGGACCCGCAGCTGGAGACCAGGCAGGCGGGCAGCGGCCCCCAGGCGCGAGGGTCACGCGGTCCTTGAGTGAGCCACCGCGCCGACACGCCAGTGGCACGCCGCCAGAGCGGGGCGCGCCGGTGCCAGACGTGGGCGCAGCACCGCTTGGGGTGGGCGGCGCGCTCGTGGGAGGACACCCGCGGCGCACCTGGCTGGCGCGCGGCAGGCGGAGAGAAAGGGCCAGCCCAGGCACTCTGGCGCACCACCTGGGGTGGATGGCGCGCCTGGAGCCGAGCAGCGGGTGCCCCTCGGCGGAGGGAGCGCACCATGCGGAGGAGGAGGAGGAGGAGGAGGAGGAGGAGGAGGGAAGGAGGGAGGAGGGAGGAGGAGGAAGAGGATGGGGAGGAGGATGGGGGAGGAGGGGAATGAGGGAGGAGGAGGAGGAGGAGGAGGAGGAGGAGGAGGAGGAGGAGGATGAAGAGGAGAGGAGGGAGGAGGAGGAGGAGGAGGAGGAGGAGGAGGAGGAGGATGGGGTGACAAGGCATGGCGCCTCCATAGGAGGGGCAACTGCCGGGCGTTGCGCACTCCCCCCTGAGGAGGGGGCACGCAGTGAAAGCACCCGGCTGGTGCGCCGACGAGTGGTTGCACAGGGGGGACCGGGCACCTCCTCCTGGGGTGGGAGGCGCCACGCGGCCGTCGAGCGTCAAAACCGAGGTGAGTAAAGAGCACACACGCAATGAGGTGGAGAAGGAGGAGGGGAGGAGGAGGTTAGGAGGAGGAGGAGGAGGAGGAGGAGGAGGAGGAGGAGGAGGAAGAAGAAGGCCAGTGCCCTCCACTGACATCCGCCGATATACTTTGTTCCATCCGCAGCCCGAGCACTCCCGGCCCCTTCCCTGGGGGTGAGGTGTGCAATGAGATAAAGGCTAAGGCGCTTCCTGGCTGCCCAACGTTTGGGCCCCTTCCACGAAATGCCCCAAGCGTATGCCGCGACATTCCGCGAGAACCCTCCCATCCCTCCTCCTCCCCCCCAGCCTTCGCTCTCTTGAAACATAAATGTCCCTCTTCGCACAACCAGACGATAAAGTCAGGCGATCCAAACCATTCGCCTGATATTATATGATCAGATGCCTAGTATATCCCACCAGGTGCTCAGCTGAAGGGCGGGTGAATGTCTAAACCGCTGGTACTTGACTTTGAGTACGCCATCATTTTTTCCAGAAGGGGGCACAATCATGGGTCCGTGCACTGCGGATTTGAAGTATTAGTGTTTCAATTGATGCATTCACGTTGCAACCTTTTTGTGATGGTGGTGATCGACGTCGTCCGTTTCCCCTCCACTGCCCTACTCCTGACCTTGGCCCCCTCGCTCCTCCTGGCTCAAGAGCCTTCTAGTTTCGTGGTGGTGGTGGTGGTCGCCGTTGTTGCCCCCCCTCCAGGTCTACCCCTGGCCCTGGCCGCAGCCAGCCGAAACCCCGCTGTACCTATCCAGTTCCCTTGAGTAAGCAAAGCAAGAAGCCCTAAGTGCAAGCACTGCTCGGGGAATTGCAACACGGGGGGCCACTTTCGAAATCGAGATCCCGCGCGGGATCTCCTGAAGCACAGTGTTGGCCCTTGAGCTTGGAAATTCCAACAACTCCACCGTTGCAAGGCTCGATTCCAATATCGGAGAGAGCGTGATCCACCGCCGCTTTACTGTGGAAAATTGCCAACCTTTTCCTCCGGAACCCGGGGGTCCCCCCCCCCCCTCCGAAAATCCCC